GTACTTGTTAGATTTCCAAAGGGTTGATAGAAAAGATTTATGGTTTAAGGCTTGCAGTATTCGTTGGTCCGATTCAACGGATGTCAGGTTGATGTAGTTCGTCATTTTAAAAAAGGACGATTGTTTAATCCTGACACAAACGCACGCCCGCTTGTAAAAAAACAGCGCAATTCCTACTCTGTTTCTTAATAATACAAGGTACAAACATGTTTGTGATTCCATTGTCTTAATTGTACAATTAGGTACCTATAGGTATACCATTAACTATTAAGACAATGGTAATCTCATTACCTACATTTAACCCCATTACTGGAACTATTATTAAATTTCGCAGGGTTGTGGATAGCGGAAGGTTAACTATTGAAAAATCTGAGGGTGTTGGAATCAATTTAACAATTTCAAAGTGTAATTTGATAAGTAACGCTTCATATTCGTCAGTAGTTAACCAAATGGAGATAGATGATGACAGTTTCAATCAGAGAAAGATCAATACCTCGGGACCATTTGAGCCAGTTCCTTGCTGTTCGGCTCAGGGTGCAATTGAAATTGATCGTATAGATCACGAAGTTACTTCGAATCTATCAACATTTCTCACTAGTACCGATCAAATGAAGGATGAACCTTTTTATTATACCATGGATGAACCCGTTTATGTCACACAGGATGCGCAACTAGGTATACTTATATACGTTCCTACAAATAATGTGAAGGTTACTGTGCATCCGAGAAAAAGAATACCTATTGTAGACATTTTTTACCCGTTCAATCAAGCTTTTTTCGAGGATATGCTACGAAAGTACACAATTCTACCTCTTTCGTATTAAAATCATATTCAATCCTACCACGTATATATACCTACAACTCCGAAATTTTCTACAGGTTTCCTTTCACAAAAGTTCGGACGGATAAACCAAACGGGCAACCATTTTTAAACAATATGTAAGATCTTCATTCCTTTTCATTGCAGACTTTCAAAACCTAATTACCACTGAAGCGCTTACATTACAAAAACACCAAGTTTGCGAAAATTTCCTAGACATTCAGGAGATATTCATCATCAGATTATTAGTAGTCTAAGAACTGCGAAGATGGCCATTGATTATTTGAAAAATATTGTAATCCAACAACGCTGTACTATCCATAATTTAAAGCGTCGAATTAAAAGGAAGGAAAAGCGTATTACTAATTTGCTTGCAGCATTAAATGATTTAAAGGACCGAAAAATATTAAATGAAAACACTGCAAATGAAATCACGGTAAGCTTACATATTTTGAAAGAATTCACTGGGAATTAGTGATTAAACAAATGTACCTACTGTGTCTGCGTGTTGTAGATATTAGAAGTTGAACGTTATCATTGTGTAATATTCCTTCTTTAATTATTGTCTTTTAACTAGAACTCCCTACCGAATGCCCTCCAGTATTTCAACGAGAGGACTTCGAATCCAAAGCGTGACCAATACAGTTCGGAGCTACGCAGGTTCCCCATGACGCTTCAGTTTTATTCGAGTACGGCCTACAATTTCGTGCGTTCGCAATTTCATAACCTGTTGCCTGCGCCGTCCACAATAAGAAAGTGGCTTTGCACCATTAATGCTAATCCTGGTTTCAACAAAGACGTTCTTGAGGCAATAAAAAAAGCGTCAGAAAAGAATAACAAGCCGTTTGTTTGTAATTTGATAATCGATCAAATATCACTAAAATATGGAACCACGAGGAAACATGGCAGAAGATTTGGATACGTGGACGTTGGTGTAGATCCTTTCACGATGAAGCCCATATTTGAGGAATCCATAGTACAGGCAAATCATGCCCTCGTCTTTATGATTGTAGATTTACTTGGCACATTTAAAGCGACGCCTGGATACTTCCTCATTCATACGTTGACAGGAGTGGAACATGCAAACTTGGTAATGATAATGCTTCAACTTCTGCACGAATACGGAGTGAATGTTCACTCTATCACTTACGATGGTGATAAAGTTAATGAAGCAATGGTTGTAGCTTTGGGAGCTAATATTTCGATAAACTCTCCAAAAGAGAAATTGTATTTTTCTCACCCAATTACTAGTCATCCCGTGTGGTTGTTCCCGGATCCATGTCACATGCTAAAGAATGTGCGAAACTGTTTAGCTAAATTGGGACGTCTTCATGACCGTGAAGGTCGACTAATTGATTGGACGCACATCCTTATGCTTTGCAAAATTCAAGAAGATGAAGGTGTTTTCGCTGCCAATAAATTGACCGCAAGGCACATTCATATTGAAGAAAATAAAATGAATGTGCGACTTGCCGCGCAGGTGCTGAGTAATTCAGTGAAGGAAGCACTAATTTTTGTACAATCCCAAAATATTGTTGTTGGTGACAATCTCGAGGGAACGGCTAAATTTTGTGGTATATTTAATGACGCTTTTGATATACTGAACTGCAGGCAGCGATATAACAATAATGTTTATAAACAACCATATAAAGTTCCTTTGTGTGATGAATTTGAAACAAAAATTCGCGGAAGAGCTGCAGAAATTGAGCACTATATATTGGGATTAAGACATAATGGAAACCAACTTATATACGAAAGAAGAAAATGCGGTTTTGTTGGATTCATCATATGTTTAAAAAACATTTTTAATCTCTATAAGAATCTCCAGTCTTTGTATAAATGGGAATACCTACTGAGTTACAGGGTTCTACAAGATATGCTGGAATCGTTTTTCTCGGCCATTCGTATGAGAGGAGGATTCACAAATAATCCTACTTGCTATCAATTTCAATATGCAATGCGCCGCCTGATTAGTCGACAACAAATGGTTCTTGTGGAAAGTGGAAATTGTTCACCCGACGACATTCCACTTCTTACAGTTTCAAGTTCTGTAAAAAATAAACATTCTGAAACCGAAGTTCCATGTGAAGATGATTTCCAAGAAACTGGCCTATTTAATTTCGTCTTCGACGTACCTTTAAGCTTTGTTCAAGAGGTTGTAAGATATGTGTCGGGATTTATAGTTAAAAAGTTTAAAGAAAGCTGCTCCCTCAATACGTGTCAAGAATGCTTTTCGTGTATCGTTGGAGAACCTGGATCAGCGGCCTTAATCGATATTAAAAATCGAGGTTTCTTGTCATATCCATCTGAAGAAATGTTTCAATTGTGTCTTCGTATTGAACAAATTATTCGAGCTTCATCTGACTTCATGTACGCATCAACCTTTGAACGAGATGTTTTCCGCAATTTATTCGATAATAATATGTACTTTTTCCAATCCCCACATTTCACCGAATATTCGGAACATTACAGAGAATTAGTAACCTACGTTGGAAGAGTGTATTTAACTATTCGCATGCATCATGAAGAAAAAAAGCATTCTAAAATTGACAAATACGTCAGACATCTTCATACAAAAATTATTCTGTTTAAACATCAGTAAGCATGACGCTAGTGATCTATCAAAATGCTGGTGAAATTATTTCTGTATGAATATTTCCGAATATCCCGATAGCCATCGAGGCGCAATGAAAGATTAGTCATTGTGATAAAGAACAAAGGCGAATGGGACGTAATGTTTCTAGGAAATATGACATGTTTTGTTTGAGAACATTCTAGAATACTCGGGAGCGTTCGGAAGCGTTCAAGAGCTTCCGAGCAAGAGGGGCGTTTGCTACATAAGCAAATCGAACTGCTAAATAATATGCATATAGTTCGCACTGATATAAATTGTGCATATATATGTATGATAAATAGTATGTTACTGTATATAAATCAACTTTTTCGCTTCACAAAAATAAAGACGCCTCTCAAGCGAATTTCATTGCAGTTTGAATAGGTATAATTATCAATTGCTTCAATTTGGATATCTGCTGCAGCATAACACGATTATAGTCAACCCACTATACACCACTGTTTCCGATTTCAAACTTTTCGTACGTGGTTGCTATGGAAGCTGCTGTATATTTGTCTCGACGGGTGTATACACCATATATTTATATGGTATACACGCCTTTAGTTTACCCTGAGATTTCACATACCCACGACTACAGCGCCCCCTATCCGTGACCACCCATTTTGTATTGAAAGCGTAGGGCGAATAGCAGTCCATGTACTATATGGTCTAAGGGTAAATCGAAGTTTACGTTAACGAGTGAGATGTTTACTGCCGAAGCGTAGCTGAGGCAGGAATTTCGAAATGAGTAACGTAAACTGATTTAACATACAAATAATGTAAAACATTTTATTTCATACTCTCTAAATTCCATAACAAAAAAATTGAAATCATTTTTGATTAGAATGTCGTACACATTCAAATAATAGCAAAAGTCGATCACTTGATTTATTTGACCTGACAGTACCTTGACAAGCTATCAAATTAATATATACGTTTTGATAGATGTCAGTTGATGTCGCTAGGTAAAAACTTTCAGTCTGGTAAAGTATAAGGATGCTATATAATATTATATGTATTACTAACTATCATAGCACATTTTATATCTGTGATACGCGGGCATAAAGTACCACTTTATGCCCTAGGGCGTTAAGTATCACCATAGTAACTCATTTATACTTAATGTCAAAACAAACAAATATTTACAGGTCAATGAAAATTAGAAACGTCATTTATTAATTGTCAATACCTATTAAATCACAAGATTGGCTTTATTTCGTATAGTTTCTGGAACTTCTTGCTCATTCACGATGAATTGAATTACTTTTAAAATTACGTTTGACGTTTGGATGGTTTCAATCACATTAACAAATTCGAACCACGCATACTTG